GGTATGGCCCTGAGCCCTACAAGTCAGCCTTGACTGAGAGCTCCCAGGTGCTGGTTTCTTGGCGAGGGTGTGGGCACGAGGGCCTTACACTCCAGTGAAGAGATGAATCGTGTGCGCAGACCGAAGGAGGGAAGCGGCTTCCCAGAGGGAAAGGAGCATCTCAGCAGGGCCTAGGAACATGGGGGACAAGGGAGAAACAGGACCAGACTGGACGCCACATTGTGCCGGCGTACACCTCCTGGCCAGGTCCTGGGGAAGCAGATATGAATGGCAGGTTCTTTTAGGGAAAGTCACGTGCAGGCAGTGTGTGGCGTGGCTGTGGGAGGAAGAAGAGATTTGCACTCAAGAAAGGCACTATCAGCCTGCCCGCAGGAGGGATGAGGCCCCATTGGAAGGTGTACTGACCACCTACCATAGGCCTGCCCCTCTGCTAAGGACATTTTATTTTTTTATCTCATTCTATACTTATGCAAGGGTCAAAACAGCCCCCAGGAGTCAGACCTGTTTCCCCCATTTTAAAGATGAGAAAACTGAGACTCAGGGAAGGTAATGAATTCACTCAAGATCACTCAGGCATGAAACATCGGAGCTAATATTTTAGGATTAAGTTCCATGCTGTTAACCATGAGGCTATATTGCCTCAAAGGAGGCTTCTTGGAAGAGGCTGGATGTGTGGGGTTTGAGCAAGTGAAGAAAGAAGGGCATTTAGGATGCAGGGAACTACTTGAACAAAGGCACAGAAGTTAGAAAGTAAATGTCACATTATGAGGTTGAAGCTTTGCATGGTTAGAGCTTCTGGGGGTGGGGGCATGGGAGGGATATTGTGGGAGAAGAGACGGAGAAACTTAAAATTCCCTCACAGTCACCGGTCATTGTGGGGCTTTCCTATGGTAGACTGGTCGGGGTGAGGAGGGTTCCTATGACTTGCCATGTGTCCTTGCACAGGTCCCATCCCTATCTGGGCTTCAGTTGTATCATCTGTTAAGTGAGGGGCTTCAGCTGAGGGCCTAAGGCTGATGAGTGGCAACCGGTCTGTAAGGACACAGTTAGAGGAGGGGAAGGGTCAGGCCAGGCAAGGAGGAATGCAGAAAAATGCCGAACATTTCAGAGGCCAGGGAGGACTAGGGAATGTTTTGACAGCAAAGAGATCACCAGTGACCTTGGCAGGCTTTGGCTGTTTGGAATGGAGGGAGCGGAAGTGGCTTTGGAAAGGGGCCAGGAAAGGGCTGAACCAGAGAAAATGGGAGAATGGGGGCATGAAAATGAGGGTTGGAGAGGGAGAGTGTAGAATGTTTGCCAGAGGTAGGAATGGATAATGAGATAGTCAAGCCTTGATCAATTAGTATTGCCTGCCTGGGGCCTTATGCTGAGAAACGATCAGAGGGAAGTAGAGCTGCAATTGATTATCAATGTCTGCTAAGGGCAGGGGCCATAGGCACAGTAGTACTTCTGTCCTTGCTTAGATGGGTCTCAGGTTGAAAGTGATGGTCTGGGTATCTTAGCCTACAGAGGGGAAGCCTTAGATATTAGGGATACCTAATTTCAGGTGAGAGGAAATGCCTCTGTCTCCAAAAACCTGATCTTTTCCTACAATTAAGGTAGTTTGCTGCGTGATAAGGTAGTTTGGTCTCATGGTCAGGAGTGCGGGCTTTAGAGTCAGTTCTTCGAGCCTCAGTTTCCTCTCTGCAAAATGGGAATGAAAGAATACCTGATTGCAAGGTGGCTGTGAGGTGATGTTAATAGCTACAGCTTTATTATCATTGCATGTTTGTTAAATGAAAGCTCTGTTTTCCCCTGATGATGGTGCTGTTATTCTGAGCTTGAGAGCAGTGTCTATGTCTGAGTTGCTCCAAGGCCCCATCACTCAACCCAGGACTGGGGATACCTCAGGGACTTTCAGATTCTTTTTTTTTTTTTTAAATCATATTTTAGGTTTTGGGGTATGTGTGAAGAACATGCAAGATAGTTGCATAGGTACACACATGGCAGTGTGATTTGCTACCTTCCTCCCTTTCACCTATATCTGGCATTTCTCCCCATGCTATCTCTCCCCAACTCCCCACCCCCTCGTCCCTCCCATATTCCCCCCAACAGACCCCAGTGTGTAGTGCTCCCCTCCCTGTGTCCATGTGTTCTCATTGTTCAACACCAGCCTAGGAGTGAGAACATGAGGTGTTTGATTTTCTGTTCTTGTGTCAGTTTGCTGAGAATGATGGTCTCCAGGTTCATCCATGTCCCTACAAAGGACATGAACTCATCATTTTTGAAGGCTGCATAATATTCCATGGTGTATATGTGCCACATTTTCCCTGTCCAGTCTATCATCGATGGGCATTTGGGTTGGTTCCAGGTCTTTGCTATTGTAAACAGTGCTGCAGTGAACATTCGTGTGCATGTGTCCTTATAGTAGAATGATTTATAGTCCTTTGGATATATACCCAGTAATGGGATTGCTGGGTCAAATGGAATTTCTATTTCTAGGTCCTTGAGGAATCGCCACACTGTCTTCCACAATGGTTGAACTAATTTACACTCCCACCAGCAGTGTAAAAGTGTTCCTATTTCCCTACATCCTCTCCAGCATCCGTTGTCTCCTGATTTTTTAATGATTGCCATTCTAACTGGCGTGAGATGGTATCTCAATGTAGTTTTGATTTGCATTTCTCTAATGACCAGTGATGATGAGCATTTTTTCTTATGTTTGTTGGCCTCATGTGTGTCTTCTTTTGTAAGGTGTCTGTTCATATCCTTTGCGGACTTTCAGATTGTTTTGGAGGATCAAGTAGGCTTGTGGTTGATGGGACAGAGGATGAGGTCATCTTGGGCTTTGGGGTCATCTCAGTGGGGGCCCAGGGATGAGGGCTAGGGCTGGAGGGGCAGTGGGCCTGGGGCCAAAGCCGGGGATGGGGTTGTCCTCATCATTCCTTCCTTGAGCCAGTATTGAGCGCTAGCTGCATGCCGGGTTCTGGATGACCAGTCAGTAAGTCCCTGCTCACCTGATCTCAAGGCTTGAGGGGAACTGGGTACACCTGTAAGTTCCTGTAGAACGCTCCCCAGCCCTGACACTTGCACCCTCTTTCAGATGAAGAAATGGCCTCAGAGAGGGACAGTGGCTTGCTCAAGGCAAATCCAGAGAAATGTAGGTGTACAAGGCTCCTTTTGGCTGTGGAGAGGCCTAGGGCTCTAGAACAGGTGCTGAGAGAGCCAGGAGGGATCCAGAATGAGTAGGGGACCTGGTGATGCCACCTGGACTCAGACTTCTGCTCTTGACAGAGCCAGAACTCCAGAGCCAGGCTGAGCCTTGTAGTAGGGGCCCACAGCCCTGCCAGAGCCTCAGCTGCCCTGGATACCTAAACTTTCTTCCTGTGGCTTTTCAATCGGAGCCAGTGAAGAAGACCCCAGGAGGAGGCAGGGAGGGCCCAGGACATTTCCCAGCCCCTCCCTGGGGGATGGTCTAGGGAAGCTGGCCCTGGCTATGTCTCTGGTGGCCCCTGAACCTGATTGCTGACTGGATTCTGCTCTGTCCTTAACAAGATTGTGTGTGAGGCTAAAGAGCAGTTTTCTTTCTCATCTGTAAAATGGTGCAGTCATAACAAACACCTCCTATGCGCATGCAGCATCTGTGAGGGGATGATAAGGGACAGGTAGGGGCTCTGGCAGGTGGGCGTGTAGTGTGTTCATCCTTGTGAACTGATCCTCGGAAGGATCCCTGGAGACTTCCCCTCCTATGCTAGCCCGTTGCTTCCCAGCTGAGTGACATGGTGCCTCTGGGCCTCAGCTCCTTCAGAGGAGCTGGGGATTGTCAGAAACCGCCAATGCAGCCCTCACTTCCCCTCATGCCCATTTGCCTCTGCAGGACCCTCACCCACATCGTGGGCCACTCTTTCCACATGTCCCTCCTGGTCCATTTGCCCACCCAGTGAGCCAGGCTCATTCTCTCATTTCCTGACATTCATGTGGTTGGTGCTTTTAGAGGACCCTCCATGTGGACCCTGCTCTGCGCCATTGCCACGGCCCAGAGAGGCGGGCAGTGTTAGTCCTAAAGAGGAGAGGGGGCTTCCCCAGGACCATGCAGTGGATGGGAAGCAGAGTGGGTCTTGAACCTTCCCAGATTTGGGAAATCACCTCCTCCTCTCCCCACCGACCCTTACCCTACCCTGCTCTCCCTGGGCTACCGTCTCCTTCCTGGCCTCCCACATGCCCCTATTGGTCTCTACAGATGCGCACAGGGAGGAAAGCCGTGCAGGTTGCGGCTGTGGGAACCACTCAGGGTTTAAGTCTGACTCATTTTATGCGGCCTTCATCTCATGACTTTGCCTCCCTGAGTCTCAGTCTCCTAATCTGTAGAATGGGGACAACCACTACCTCACAGGATTGCACTAAGGATTCAGTTAGAAATGGTATGATTTGCCCTCAAGTGTTAGCATTTAAGAGTTAGGGCTGTGGGCTCGGGCATGAAACTTGGCTCTTACACTTCTTGGCTCTATGGACTTGGTTATGTGATTTAGCCTCCATGGCCTCCGTGTGTTTGTCTGTCAATGGATTTGATGAAAGTGTGGACCTCATAGGTTCTTATGAGGATTAATGAATATTTTACGAAAAGCTACTTATATGGCACCTTGGTATGTGCTGGAAAGCATTAGCTCTTTATTAAAAGTGACAGTAGGCTGGGCATGGTGGCTCACGCCTGTAGTCCCAGCATTTTGGGAGGCTGAGGTGGGCAGATCACTTGAGGTCAGGAGTTTGAGACCAGCTACTCTGGAGGTGGAGGCTGGAGAATCACTTAAACTTGGGATGCAGAGGTTGCTGTGAGCTGAGATCGCACCACTGCACTCCAGCCTGAGTGACTGTGAAACTCAGTCCCCCCCAAAAAAGTGACAGTAGTAGTGGGGAGACCCCACCCCCTGCTAGGGGGTTTCTGGAAAGAAGACTGGTGAGAGCTGTTGCTGGTGGTAGGCCCTGAGCCGCAGGGTCTGAGAGCCTACCCTGTCCTGCCCCAGAGCTTCCTGAGAACTGGACGGACACTCGGGAGACGCTGCTGGAGGGGATGCTGTTCAGCCTCAAGTACCTGGGCATGACGCTGGTGGAGCAGCCCAAGGGCGAGGAGCTGTCTGCCGCCGCCATCAAGAGGATCGTGGCTACAGTGAGCACTCCAGTCAGGAAGGGTCAGGGAACCAGAGACCAAGGCCCAGCATTTTCCCGGGATGCCCTTCGTCCTAGCTTGTTTCTCCAATTGAGTGTGTCTGAGCCTGGCCCTGCCCTTGAGTCTCCTTCCGTCCAGCTTTGGGGCCTTGGCAGAGGGGAACCATTGGACTTTCAAGGTCACGGTCAGTGGCTTCCCTCCAGCCATTATGGTCTCTTCCGGCCTCCCCATCCCCAGCTCAGGCTCCCTACCTATGCATTGGTGACTTATCAGTGCCAAGAAGGGTGGGGAGGTTGCTTTCCCTTGATTACCTGCCCAATGACCTGAGAGACAGCATAGCCCATCAGAGAGCAGAGTGCCCCCTCCCTAAGCTCTGAGCAAGAATGGGGCTTTTAAATCCACTTCCCTTGGTGGCCTCAGACCCCTCAGCTCAATGGATGGAGCAGAGTCCCCAGGAGTCATCCTGCTGGGTTGATAGCTCACTCGGTGCTGAGTCTGTGGTCCCTCCTAGCTGTGTGACCTTGGGCAAGTCCCTTAGCCTCTCTGAGTCCATCTCCTCCTGGGGAGAAGGAGGGTGACTCGAGGTTCATGGTGCCTGACAGATAGCTGGTGCTCAGGGAGCAGCAGATGCTGCTCCTGTTTCTGTTACAAGAGGGCGCTGGCTGGGTTGTCTTCCCCATACCGCTGCCTGTTGCCTAAGCTGAGGTGGGCCCCGTGTCTGGGTCTGAGGAGCAGCGAGGTGCAGGCCACGAGGGTGGGTCTCAGGTGAGGCCAGCAGGCTCCTCTGACTCCTGTCTGTCTCCCAGGCTAAGGCCAGTGGGAAGAAGCTGCAGAAGGTGACTCTGAAGGTGTCGCCACGGGGGATTATCCTGACGGACAACCTCACCAACCAGCTCATTGAGAACGTGTCTATTTACAGGTACGCTCAGCATGGGGTTGGCCCATCCATTCTGCCGCTTGGGGCAGTGGGTAGAGTGTCCCATCTGAATCCAGGGCTCTACCACTTCCTACCTGGGTGACCTTGGAGCCTCAGTTTCCTCGTCCGTAAAATGAGGGTGGGAACAGATCCTGCTGCATAGTGTTGTTAGAAAGCGCTGAGTGCACAGCACCTGGTTCATGATGAGCACTTGGTTAAGTGGCAGCTGCTGCTTTTATCATCACCAGTTGGAGAAAACAGCTGAGCCAGCCCTCCCCCAACCCCAGCATGCTGCTGAGTCAGGCTTGGAGCAGAAAACTGCAGAGTCACTGCCTTTTCTTTCTGCTGTGAATGCAGCGACTTGGCTCTAGGTATCTGGCCAGGCATTTTGGGGAGGCCCCAACCAGGGTCCAGGGCCAGAGTGTAGATGGTCTTTCTGGTGGGTCCTCTGGTTAGCCCTTGGAGCCTCAGGCTATCCCCACTACTCTCTTGGCTGGTCTATTATAGCTTTTCAGAACTGAAAGGGACAGCTCAGGTCCATTTTACAGATGGAGAAGCTGAGGCCCAGAGAGAGAATTGCCTAAGGCTACACAGTGAGGTATAGTGGCTGAACTGGAACTAGGACGCCCAGGCTGGAGCCCTGTCCAGCAGGCTCCTATCTGCCAGGCATCCCTCCACCCTCGTGCTTTGTCTCCAAGCAGATGACTCAGCCTGCTGGTGCACGGGCCAGTAGGGTCGATAGATGTGTGTTGTGGAGCCCGGCTGATGTCTTCCTCTCACCAACCTGATTGTACCTGCCTTCCTTTAGTCAACACTTTTCAAATACCTATTCTGCCAGCATCTGTGCCAGATGAGGACTCTGATCCTACTCATACCCTCAAGGAGCTTCCACCCTAGTTGGGAATAGTGGGGAGGAAACAGGAGATAGAGCATGGTGTTTTCCGAGAAGGCAAGGAAAGGTCTGCCTGGGGAAATCCAGGAAGGCTTCCTAGGGGAGGTGGTACCTTGCTGGGGCTTGAAGAATAACAGGATCTGGTTTATTGATACCAAGGACCCAGTAGCATTTAGAGCAGAAAGCTGGACCCCCTGGGATGGAGAAGAGGTAGTCAGGGACCTGGCACCTTCAGGCTCTGCCCCCCTGGGGTGTTGATGCCTGTGACTGAAGCTGGGGCCACATAGTTGAGGGGTGCGTCTGTGGCACTCCTGTCCCACCTCTGGGCTGCCAGCCCCTCCCCTGATTGAGACTCTGAGGCTGACTGGAGGCAACGAGGAGGGACCAAACAAGTGAAGGAGGGTGGGAGGCGAAGGGTTTAGGTAGCCCCAAGGTTACAGATGGCAACTGGGGGCAGAGACGGTGTTCTATGCAGAGGGAGTTGCTGTGTGTCTCCTCCCAGGCCCACTGGGGCTCCTTGTTGGGTCCTCTTCACACACACGCCCCATCCCTACTTCCAGCTCTGCCACCCCTGGCCACAGCTCCAGAACTTGCAAATGGTCCCAGTCACCCTGAGAGAGATGGACCTGGATCTCACCTGACCTCTGGGCAAGGTGGGATGGGGGAGGCCAGGTGAAGGGCATCACTGAGCAGGGCAGTGTCCTGTTTCAGCTCCCCCTTCCAGCCAGTTGGCATGTAGCCTGCAGAGGCAGCATGGTAGCCTTGGCCTCTGAGCTCAGGTCCTAACTCTGCTACCACTTCTGTGGGGTCAGGTCTTTAGCCTCAGGTTTTTCATCTGAAAAGTATGGATAGTGATAGAACCCTTCTCAGAGGGTAGCTTTGATAATTACATGAGGTGAGATCTAGAAAACTCTTGGCACATTGCCTGGTATGTGGTAAGGGTTTAGGTATTACTGTTTTGGGGTGTGGCTCGGTGTGGGATAGGAGGGAGAGGGGGAAGTGCCCTGCTTCCAGTCTTTACCCTGGTCCTTCCTGCCTGCCTGGCGTGTATACCTCCTGCACAGATGGCCCAGATGCCCGGCCTGGAGGCCCAGGCTGGATTCCCAGAGTCTGCCCTGGTGGAGTGGGGACAGCAGGTTCTCTGCAGTTCAGGGGAGCTGCCCCGCAGGGCATCCCACATGTGCTCAGGCCCACATGTGCTCAGGCCCCCATGCCAGGTCCGGTGATACTTCCCCCTTGCCTTTCAGGATCTCCTATTGCACAGCAGACAAGATACACGACAAGGTGTTTGCATACATTGCCCAGAGCCAGCACAACGAGAGCCTTGAGTGCCACGCCTTCCTCTGCACCAAGCGGAAGATGGTCAGTGGGGAGGGCCAGGGCTGGGGCAGTCTCTAGTCGTCTTGGCAGCCCTGCTTGTTGGGGGTGCTGTCTGGTGTAGGGGGCAGGACCCAAAGGTGACCATCACTTAAGAAGAAGGTGAAATCCGTGGGAATCCCAAGTGGGTGCTAAGAGCTAAGGGGTGCAGTGGTGGGGCTGCAGGCAGGCAGGTGACCCTCCGGTCAGACTGGTGTGGGCAGTGGTTAGCCCGTGTCCCCAGTGCGTGCCTGGGCCCCTTTCTCTATAACGTTGTTGGGTTGAGGTTGTTTTGGATCTCCTGTCTTTAATATGGTCTGGGGGTACAGGGCCTTGTAGGGATTGGTCCTTGGACATGGGAGACTGGGGATCTGGGGTGGCAAAAGCCCTCAGGGGACCAGGCTTGCTGTGGCTGGAGTGTGGAAGGCAGTGGCTGTCTCTCGGTGCCGCCTATGTGTCCATTTCAGCACTAGGCTTCCAGGTCTTTTCTTCAATCCTCACAGCTCTGCAAGGTGGGAACTGTTACTCTCTCCATTGTTTCTTTTTCTTCTTCTTTTTAATGTTTAATGATGAAACAAACTCTCAGAGGCCAGCTGTCTTGCTGGATAACCCAGCCAGCCAAGGGTAGAGTGAGGGTTTAAACCCACATTCCTCCCCCTCCCTCTGTGCCTGGGGAGCTCAGAGTTCCTTGTCTCATTTCCAGGTCACCCCCGTGATCACATCTAGCTGGGATGAGTGGGAACCGTGGTGGTCATTGGGCATTTGTCCTGTATTTGGGGGCAAGCAGTGGAGTGGGTCAACCTTTGGCATTACAGCTTTTGTTTCTGAGACACCCCAGGATCTGAGCATCCTCCCTAGAAGATGGTTCCTGACATCCATTGATTTAGTACTGGCACCTGTTTACCTCTGCTGACAGCTGAGAGGCCTAATCCCCAAGCCCTATAGCCCTTGGAACCTAGGAGACAAGATCTCCTTCCCTCCTCTGTCATCAAAGGATGTGTCAGGTACATCATAGTCTTTGTGGCCCCCAAGCTTCCTGCTGCCCATTAGGGCACATTTCAGATTATATGTAAGTTTTCTCTTGCTGTTGTAACAAATGATTGCAAACCTAATGGCTTAGATCATCACAAATTTATTCTCTTATGGAGAAGAAAAATGTGTTCTGTGACAGAGGTAGGTCAGGAGTCTAAACTAGGTCGGGAGGATTGTGTTTTTTTCTGGAGGCTCTAGAGGAGAATCCATTTCCTTACCTTTTCTACCTCCTGGAGACCAACCATCTGCATTTCCAGGTTTGTGGGCCTGTCCTCATCTTCCGAGCCAGCAACATAGTGTCTTCCAGTCTCCTGATTTTGTCGCCACGTTGCTATTTTAAACTCTGACTCTCCTACCCCCCTCAGCACTCCTTGTGATGACATTTGGACACACTGAGTAATCTGGGATAATCCCCATTGCCAGATCCTTACCTCACTGACTGTGCAAAGCCTGCTTGCTGTGTAAGGCATCACTCACAGGTCTCAGGGATTAGGATGTAGACATCTTGGGGGCAGACACAGGATTCAGCCCACCGCAGGTGTCATGGAAGAGTCACTGAGGAGGAGACAGTCCAGCGGTCTGATCCTGGCTGATGTGCTGCATTGCCTTGGAGAAGACCTTGGCTTTCTCTGGGCTGTTTGCCTCTCAGCAGAATGAGAAGGTTGCCTCTGTGACCTCCAGGGTTGTTCTGAAAGGCCCCAGGTTCTTTTGAACACCTTGTTTCTTTCCTGCAGACTCAGTGTCGCCGGCTACTTGCCCAGGGCCTCGTGAGGTCCCAAGGCTTCAAGTTGCTGTGGCATCTCCTGTGAGTTCCCACAGATGTGACTGGTGGCTTTGTCTTTTAGGAGGCCACACAGACTTGAAAATACAGCTCATTATGTCCCCATTGTTCATCTCTTCCTCCCCGCTGACCAGGAAAGGCCCTGGGCAGGGACAGCTGGCCCTGGGTGGGAGGGCCCTTCCAAGGTGCAGAGGCTTCCTCTGGGATGGGGGGTTCTGGGAATAAGAGAGAGGTGCGGGCCCAGCTGTGACAAGGGAGACCTGGCTTGTGGCCAGAGGACTTCAGACAGACTTGAGTGAAATCAGCCTACCCTCAGGCCGTGAGGTCAGCCACCAAGGAAAAGAGAGCCAGACCTGGCAGCAAGAAGAGGCCCTGCCAGATGCCCAAACTCTTCATCTTTCTTAGTGTGTTCTTCTCTGTAGTTGGGTTGATGGCTGGCCCTTTGCCACCTGGGCTCCCTGCTTCAATGGGCCCTTCAGAGCCCTCTCCAAGACAGCCCAGCCCAGCACAGTGTAAATACATCACCTGCTGCCTCAAGGTCTTAGCCCAGCTGGGGCTGAGTGTGTGTTGATGGCCTCGTCATGTTGGAATCCTAGATTCTCGAGCTGAGTGGAAATGTTCTTGGGGGCGGCAGGAGATGGAATGGCTGCCTCAGCCTCTGCACCTGCTGGCAGCTCTGCCACAGATGTTGGGCACCATCTATCCTGGCCTGAGCCATAAAGAAAACATCCAAGGTGGTAATGAACAGCCCGGCTTCAGTACCTGGAACCCAGGGGGCTTGGTTCTGGGGCAGAAATTAGTAAATCTCACTGGAGGGTAAGTGTGACTTCCCTGAGACAGAGACACCTTGAATGGGGCTTTGAAGGCTGAGGAGCCAGGAGGAGTTTGCCAGGCTGAGAGAAGGAGGCAGGTGGTGGGCGGGGAGTGCACACCCGCGCAGGATTAACATACGTGTGGGCGCAAAATGAAATGGTTCCCCTGCTGTGGGTGGTGAGGCAGCTTCTGTTTGCAGCCGGCCTTGAATCGGGATGTTGAGGACCTTGAGTCAGGATCTTAACAAAACCTCACTCATTGTGGCTGGGGCCTCCACATCCCTATTCTTCCTGGCCCGGCTGCCTGAATGAGTTCATGACCCATTCAAGTTGGAGGAGAAGGGCTCCTTTCTACATCACCCACCAGTCAGCTCAACTCTGGGCAGCACAGCCACCCTGAGTCTCCCCTCCCTAGTCCTGCTAGGCAAAGCCAGGATGGGGTTTCTTTAAGGAATCTCTTTAATCTGCCCAACCAGGAGGCCTCTGGGCTCCAAAGTGAAGGTAGAGGAGCTCAGGGTTGCCACGCAGGTGCCAGGCCTAGGCTGATGATAAGCAAAGTGCTACTACCCCCAGTTTCACCCAGCAGTGCGGGGCCGGGCTGCTCTCTCTTCCACAACCATTGGCATCCTGGAGTGATCCTTGTGCAAGGTTATGCTTCTGGGGCAGCAGGGCTGCTGGGGGGCACATGACTGTCTTGGTCTGAGTTTCTGGCCCCTTTTGAGCCGTGAGCAGCCTGGTTCCTGGGAACAAGGAACATGAAAAACTGGACAAGGTAGCATCTAGTCAGGATAATAAGGCAGACCTGCAGGGCAGAGCAGTCAGGAGGGCAGGCACCCCACCTGGGCAGGCCCGAGCAGTCCCTCCACCTAATGCTGGTGCTCGGATTCTTGCAGCCGCCCCAGGAAGCAGGGCCCACCCTGCTCCCAGTCCCTGCCCAGCCTAGGCTTGTAGCCACCTGCACACATCCACATCTTGGGTTGTATTCAGTTCAACTTACAGCTTGTGACTTCAGGGCAAAAGGGTAGGAATGTATGCAAATGAACAAGCAGATTTATGCAAAGACAGCCTAAGCTTGTGTCCCCAGATTTCCAGCAGGCTTAAATAATGGCATTTTCGTATCCCTGCCGCCTTGAGTGACCAGCCCTTGCTTGGGTTGTTAGTGATCTGACTTGGGCTGGTAATTAGCCCATATTTTTAGTTCATGGGCAATTCTCAATGGTAACTGGGTCTATTAAACTTGATTCAGACATGACAGCTTAAATTGTAAACAGCTGCGAAGAGTTTCATACTTAATTACCATATTTAAGTTTTGCCATAAAGTGCCTGTACTTCCATCAGAAATGTAAATGATGGAGACATTCAAATGAGGTTTTATACTTTGTGACGTTTAATTGGCACGGATCAGTCAGCTTGTTTGGGAATTTTAAATATTTTTTTTAAAAGGAGTTTTAAAGGCAGTGGCCACAGGTTCATTTCTCAATTAAATTGAGTTGTCTGGGAGAGGGAAGTGAGTGGGGCTTAGGCTGGTGATGGCTGAACTCGTGCTCTTGAAAGAGGCTGGTGCTTTCTTCTCTTAGCCAGGTCTTCAGAAGGAAGCTAGATGTTTCCGGCGACAGCTACGAACTCCGGGACTTCCACTCCCAGAAGCCGAGCTGATTAACCCTGGACTGGAATGGCTGAGAGAGAAAGATGTTGGGATGAATATGGGCTGGGGATAGGTCCTGGCTGGAATGAGCCCTGCCCCTCAGACAAGTGTCATTCACCCAGCATTGCTGCCACTTCTGGGAGGCTTTGCCCAGGGATGTTCAGACTGATTCTTGCTTTTAGAGTGCACACAGCGGGGGGGAACACAGGCATGGGAGCCAGTGACACTTTCATATACATGGTGCTAGAGGGAGGTGGGTGAGGCTAGAGGAGTCTGGGGCTGGTGACAGGAGAGAGGTGGTGACATCTGAGTTGGGTTTGAAGGGCTGGGTGGGAGTTCCCCTGGGGTGAAGGGCCAAGGCGTGGCCCTTCCTTACTGGTGGGTTATAGCACTAAATGGTTTTGGTCCCCGAGCATTCATTGACTTCTTGCTCCTGTCTAGAAATTGATAAGCCTTCTATTCTCTTTGTGGGATCCAGTTATAAACCCTGGCCTAGTTGCAACCAGAACCTAACTTTCACCTGTCTGGCTGTGGCTTATCTGGGGCAATGGCTGGGCCTTTCCAATTCTGACTTTTCTGTTCTCCAATTCCAAGGGCTAAGTTAAGTCCACAGGTAAGGAGGGCTTCTTGGAGGAAGTGAGCCTCACAGTTCATTGAATTTAGGGAATCCCAAAGAAGAAGGAAAAAAAAGAGAGGTGAACAGCCTTTGCAGGCAGGGGCCCTAGAGTGAGGGTGAGAACTTTGGTGGGGCCAGAGATGGTGAAGATGGGGCCCCCACTGCCTTTGCGAGTATGTGGGTTTATTACACCCCAGGTTGCTTTGGAGCTCTGGGAAGAGCCAGGACCCTGCTCTGCCCAGCAGGCATTCCAGACCTGGGATGGAGCTGCAGAAGCTGCAGAGGGAGCCAGCAGGCCAGGCCTGGAGTCCCTGGCCCTTCAGTGCAGACTTGCTCTGCCCTGGCTGACGCTGCACCCTCCCCACCCCCACTTCCTGTTTTCAGGCACAGGCTGTCACCCTCACCGTAGCCCAGGCCTTCAAAGTTGCCTTTGAGTTTTGGCAGGTGTCCAAAGAAGGTGAGACTTTGTATCTACATTGTGGGTGTGCTGGGAGGTGGGGAGGCAGATGAAAGCCCTGAGATCAGGTCTGGACTGACTTCCAGCCTCATCACCCACCTGGCTTGTGATTGTGAGCAGGTCCCTTTACCACTCTGAGTCTTAGTTTTCCCATCTGAAAAATGGGAACAGCCATCTCCCTCCCCAAGGATGCTTGTGAGGATTAACTGACATCTGAAAGGTTTCTTTCCTCCTGGCTGGAAACCTAAAACTGCCCCCTGAGACTGGCCACAGCTAATCACCCCTAGCCCAGTGATTGCTGGGGACGGAGTGCTCGGGTCTCAGGCTCCAACGTGTTGTGCCTTGGTCCTGCAGAGAAAGAGAAGAGGGACAAAGCCGGCCAAGAGGGAGGGGATGTCCTGGGGGCCCGCCGAGACTTCACCCCCACCTTGAAGAGCTGTGAGTCCTGATGGGGAAAGCGGGTGTTGGGTCTGTGTGTCACCCAGGGGGTTCTGCTCCTGCCTGGGCTGGGACAGCCTCTTGGTTTTTCAGTTTTGTTTTGTTAAATAAATAATACACATTCATTACAGGTCAATTAGAAAATGTAGATAAGGGGAAGAAATCATTCATTTTGGTGCATTTTCTTCTGGATATGTTCCTATGCAAATGTATAAATATGTTTCTGCCTTTCTATATTTTTAACATACTGTTGTGTGGTCATTTAAGAAAACTTAACTATTGTGAATACAAAAGTTTCAGTCTAAGCCGTTAGTTGAGGGCAGGTTCTCACTCTGTGGGTAGTTGTGCAGCTGTGGGAAGGTGCCAGGACCAGGCTCTGCTGGGAGGCCTGGGCAAGGCCACATTCTAGGGGAGGGTCAGGGCCAGGGCAGCCCAGGAGGGGCCAGGAAGGAAAAGGCTGATCTCCCTCTGACACACCTGACCGGATCCCTCATAGCAGTCGCCACTGGGAACCTGCTGGATTTAGAGGAGACGGCTAAGGCCCCGCTGTCCACAGTCAGCGCCAACACCAGCAATATGGACGAGGCGCCACGGCCGCAAACCTTGAGTGGCAGCAGTGTTGTCTGGGTGAGTGGTTTTGTGGCCAGCAGATCAGTAATCCTCAGCCTGACTTCTGGGCGAGCCTGAGGCTGCTCCAGGCCCTGGCACCCATGACTTGTGGGCCTCTTGGAGGACCAGACGCAGCCCGGCAGGGCCCAGACCCTGGATGGGGGATGAACAATGTCCCTTTTGAACCTGAGGCTTCGTCCCCAACAGGCTTGGCTACCAGCACAGCTGTCTCCTCACAATGCCTGGCCTCTTGGCCTGAGCATCCACGGCTCTGCCCACCACAAGACCAGCCAAAGGCACCCTTGTTCCTAGTATTGCAGAGCCTGCTCCCGACACTCCTCCCCCTCAGCTGTCTGAATGAGGAGCCAGAGACTTGGGCAGTCACCAGCTTGGTCCCTGACCCCCTCAGGGACTCAGGGCAAGCCCCCTGACCTCTCTGTTTCACCTTTTTCATCTCAGTGAGGGTGGTGACCTCAGCCAACGAAATCTCCCCGAGGAACCCAACATTTAATATTGATTTTTCATTTGGAAATAATTTCAGACTGTGTTACAACAATAGTACAAAGAATTCCTGTTCATTCTTCATCCAGATTCCCTAGTTGTTAACATCTTGCATAACCACATTACAGTGGTCAGAATCAGGAAACAAACACGATACCATGCCTTTGTATTGTCTGTGAACTTACACAGTTCTCCAGGGGTCCCTCCAGTGTCCGGTTTCTGGCCCAGGATCTGTTGCAGAGTCACGTTAACTTGTCATCTCTTTAATTTTTAAAAATCTGGCAAGTGGGGGCTCCCCAGGTGTCCCTCGAGCCTGTTCTCTGCTGTTCGGGAACCACCCTTGCCGCTTGCCCATCCTCACCAGGAGGCCAGGGAGGGACCTCACCTATCGCTTTTCCACTGAGGCTGTGAGATTCCTGCCATCACTTATCTCTCATGAGGTTGGAATTTTGTCTTGGCTTTTGGAAGTAAGTGAAGGCAAGAAAACCTCCTTCCCCACCCGCTTCCTTTTGGAATTTGAAAGCCATAAGAGTCATCAGGTCCAGCTCCCTCTTCTTATGGAAGGACAAGCTGAGTTTCTTCCCCCTCCCGCCATGTACTATCCCAAGCTGAGTTTCAAAGAGGAGCAGTGACTTGCTCAAGGTCTCAGGGCAGGTAATGGTGGAGCAGGGCATTGAACCCACCTGGATCTCCAGACGCCCTAGGACATACCCTTTCTCTTCTCCCACATTTCCAACTTTGTGTCCTTGGGCTGAGATGCTGACGATGCACCCAGGCAGGAGGCCTGCCTGAGCCTGTGCCTCCAGGCACCTACCTGATTTTGTGTCCTGAGTCCCTATAGCTTATACTCAGGGCTGGTACAAGCCCTGGCTGTGAACGTGGGCTCCCCTACTCAGAGTTCTTATCTCCTGATTTGTTTTCCCCAAGGAGCTGGATGATGGCCTGGATGAAGCATTTTCGAGGTAATGTGAGCTTTCTGCGCTGGGCGGGGGGCCTGGCATGTGTGGGCAGGTCCTGCTACCCTTCCCCCCCTGCCCCCACCGGATAGCTTTGCCCTGCCTGAGAACACAGCCACTCAGACCTCCTCCAGAGCAACAGTCCCCATCCCATCACCCCAGTGCCTCCAGGAACAGGGAGCTCACTGGGAAGGAAACCCCTTCCAGTGTCGGCCAGAGTTGTTAGAAAGTTCTTACAGTTGAGTCAGAAACTGTTCCTGGTGGCTGCTCTGCCGCAGTCTGAGCTGAGTGGAACACACTGCAGCTGAAGTTGATTTCTTCTGCCTGGCGTAGCCTTCAAAGATGGGCTGCTTTTGCGGGATTTGCTCCCTCCAGAGGACTGCGTATATGAAAAGGGGAAGGGAGATGTGCTTCATGAAGCCCCTGGAGTGTTCCACAGTGGGGAGGGTCAGGCGCAGGGAGGAGTGTTTTGGTAAAGCCTGAGGGTGGTGACATTTCCCTGTTTTCCTGGGGGCCATCCTGTGGCCCCCTTCAGCTTGGGGACATGCTACTGAGAACGTTGTGGCTGAAGAGAGGCCTGAGCAGCTCAGGGTTCTGAGCCCTGGGTCCCAGCCCTCAGGCTTCCCTCCCTTTCTCCCTGAGACCCTCAGCAGCCCCCTGCAGCTCTCCCACACTCTAGGGGCTTTGTTTGGGGTTGGGGTCAGCAATTTTTGGTCCAGCGGGTAGAGGGAGTCAGGGTCTTTGCCCTTCCTCCTCCTCACCTCCTTTTTGCCAGGGACTGATGGAAACCCCTTGGTCCATCCCAGGGCGAGGGTGGCACCTTCCCTGCCTCACTGGCTGACTACAACTCCTATATGAAAAAAATATTTCCTTTGCTTTTTTTCCTCAGTATCTTGAGCGTCGTGTGCTCTTTATTAAACAATTTTGAAAATCAGCAGAGCATTAAACAGAAAGTAACACCATCCCATAATCCCACAGCCCAGAGTTTTGGGCTTAATTCATGCTAATCCTATACATATACATTATTTTGCATTAATCTGCTCGTATTTGCATTTTGGGATCCTGATTTTTCACTTAACAGCCACGTGTCAGAAGCATTGCTCCAGGCTGTTAAAATCTCCTTGTAAACACCTCTTCCACTGACTGCCAACATTCTCTTAAGGGAAGTGGCTATAATTTACTTGACTCTCCCCTGTTCTTTTGGACATGTAGGTTGTCTCCCTTTGTAAATTTATTTTTTGAACAGCATGGTGTTGACACAGTTACAGCCAAAGAATCTTCTGTTCCCTCCCATGGCTTGGCTCCTCACCGCCCCTGCCGCTCCCTTTACTCTTTCCTGCCCCCTTCTCCTCTTTCCTGGGCATGACCTGACTGAGCTGGGGCATAGTGTGGGTGCTGTGGCCTCTCCCGGGGGTGGATGCAATGCTGGCTGCCCCTCACTTTTCTGAGCTGCTTGACTCTCAAGGGGAGGTGCTTTGATCTGAGGCTCCTCCACCTTCCCTGCTTCTTGGGCTTCCTTCTTGGGCTCCCTGCCCTGCCGTTCCCTACTCATGCCCTCTTGCATCTGACCCTGGAGCCGGCCGGGCTGGTCAGGCTCCTGGGGTCCTCCAGCCCTTGCCCAGGCTGTCGGCTCACCCAGCTCTGCCTTCCAGGCTTGCCCAGTCTCGGACGAACCCTCAGGTCCTGGACACTGGCCTGACAGCCCAGGACATCCATTATGCCCAGTGCCTCTCGCCTGTCGACTGGGACAAGCCTGACAGCAGCGGCACCGAGCAGGATGACCTCTTCAGCTTCTGAGGGCCCGGGGCCTGCCGGACACAAGCGGCCCTGACATGTGATGGACCAAAGCCACCTGCTGCGGGGGAGCTGGCTCCAAGACCCGCCCGCCACCTCTCCCAGCCCTCAGCACTGTCAGCCTGAAGATCAGAGCTGTAGCCAGTCAGGCAGGGGAGAGATTTTTTTAAGCCCTGCTCTTTCTCTGAGAACCGAAAGATGCCTTGAATATTTATTCAGTGACTTCTGGCTGATGCTCGGAAGCCAGTCTTTGTCAGGCACGTCTCCTGCTGCGTGACGTGTGCAGTGCTGTAATCGGCTCCTGGAGCAAGCTCTGCCCTGGCCGCGGGTATCAGGACTGTGACCAAAGCATTCCTAGCCCCTTCTCTCTAAGGACCTGATTTTCCCTGAGGCATCCTGCTTCGGATTTCAGTCATTTTTTTCCCCCAAGCACAGGAGAGCACCCACAGCCTCAGGAGAGGACTATGTCCTCTTGCTCTCCTTCCTCAGGGCCCAGCAGGCGGGGCTTGAGCCCTGGACCCCAGACTCTTAGAGACTGAGGTGCAGCTCCTGACCAAAGACAGTACAGCTTGGCACTTTAAAGCATTCACAGCATGTGTGGCCCCAAGGGTTCCTCCATGGTGCTGCATTGAATGGAGCTTTCCTTCTGCCCTTCCTCTAGGAGAAGGGGCCTAAGGCCCCGGGGATCATCCACCTGTGATAGAACCAGTATAACAGGCAGCTGTCTGCTCCCAGGGACTGAGAGGGGTAGAGGGGATCATCGAGGGCCGGCCCCTCCCTGCCTTCTCCCCTCCATGCAAGGCTGTGCCCCTCTCCTGCTGTCTGTGTGAGTGTCTCTGCGCCCCGCCTCCCCCAGGATGATGTGTGAAACCTGACACCTCGATTTATTTGGAAATATTTTGTGACCACTTTACAGATGAGAAAATTGAGGCCTCAAGCGTGGAAGGGGTAGAGTGAAGAGTAGAACGCAGGTCTGAAGCCAAAGCTGCTTTCTTCTCTGCCTCCGCCTCACACAACTCACACCTCCTTTTCTTCTAGCTTTGTTGTCCTCCCAGGAACCAAAAAACCCCAGCTATTTTCTGACCAAAATGTGTTTCATAACAAACCATCTGGTGCCTTTCCACACAGAACTGGCAGAAGCCTCTTGTCCTGCTAGCTGTCTCTCTTGTTGATTTCCGTGGAAATACAAGTGTTTGAAGTGTGCTAATTCTGAGGGTGAAACAAAATCCAACTCTGTCAGAATCACGTTGGTCTCTTTCCTGACACTGTGACCCTGGGTCGGGACATACCAGCAGCAGTCTGTCTTTAGAATCTCTTTCCTTCCTCTTCTTCTGCCCCCGTGGGGCTCCCACATCCTGAAAGGCAGGAAAGCCTGAAGCATCTTTTCCATCCCAGGTGCCTCCCAGTGGCCAGCGTGTTGGAGCAAGTTTCATTAGCCCCAGGGAAAGCACCGCCTCCCTTAGAACCTCCTTATTTAACTAAGCATTGGAATCAGACACGTAAGACGGAGGTGCCTGAGGGTGGGGTGGGATTCGTAGGGTCTTTATCAGAATCTGAGGATAACTTCCTTGGCCCAGCTCTAGCCACCTCCTTGGTATCAGTCTCTGTTTGTCAGAAGGTGACATGGGTGAGGCCTGACATGGGCCTGCCTTGGCACGAGGCTGGCCAGGGGTCCTGAGAGCCACTGCTCTGTGAGAGCCACACTGGCCTTTGCCTCCATTTCTGGTTGACCGGCTGTCCGTGTGCCTCCTGTGTGTCTGTAGATAACTCTTGCTGTGCTTTATTTGTGAAAGTTTAATGAGGAAAAAACAAATAATAAATGTTCTCTTTTTGAAACTCATTGAAGCTGCACTCATCAGATGGTGTAGACAGTTGGCAGTGTCCAGCGGCTCCTGACCTTTGGGGGTGGGAGCAGCAGTGACCACAGACTGGGTGGGGCCACATGCCCAGGGACAGCACTGAGAGAAGGGTGGGGGTGATGGTCCTTAGGTTCCCTGGGTGGAAGGCCCAGTGGGGCCCCCTTTTCACCCAGCGACTGGGTGTGTGTGTGATGAGGTCACCTCTGGATGACTCACAGAGGCCACACCAGGAATCTGGTCTCTTGGCTGAACCTTCTGAGCCTGGGCAGGGGCCTGGCCTGGGGCTGTGAGTCCCCTGCTGTGCGCATGGGGTTGTGTATGTGGTCTACGTGGCCGTTTTCCCCAGGCAGGATCTCCATTATTTCCCTCACTTTTTGGATCTGCAACACGTCTTCATTCCACAGACTTGCTCCAGGCTGAATGTGGACTGGGCCTGGGTCATAGTACTGGGGACAGGGGTCCAGGCATGGCCCAGATGGACTCAGGGTGTTTGGTTTCAGTGTGTTGGGGGTGGTGCGAAGTATTTCAGTGACTTGGGAGACCCAAGGTCTAGCCCTAGCTCTGCCACTTGGAGGCTGTGACACTTGGTCAGTCACCTCTTGAGCCTTGGTTTTCCCATCTGTGAAAAGGGTACAACGACCTCCCCGCTTTTTACCACCTCGGTTTTGTGTGACTCAGTAGTGACCATCATCACATTGTTGGTAGAACACTTGTTCAGGGGTTATCTCAGAGCCAAAGGCAAAAAATACTTCTAAGAAGGACAAGTAAAATTGTTAGCAACCAGTGTTAACTGAGCTCTTACTGCGTGCCAAAGGCTGTGCAAAGCTCTGCAACACACCGGAGCGCAGAGTGTTGAGCCCAACCGGAGTGTTGAGCCCAGAAGGCAAGATGGCATTAGCTCCCATTACTGCTGAGGACACCGGGGCTGGGAGAGGAAGGCAGCTGCGCTTCCAGTGGTGGGCAGGACCACAGCCGAGCCTTCAACCTGTGTGGCCCTCACCCCACCATGTCCTGGCTTCCCAGGAGCCCAGTCTGGCCATGCTGCCCAAGGACTCCTGTTGACCTGCGGTGACCTTCACAGAAAGGTCTTCAGATTCTTTCAGCCACTCTCTGGGGACTCCCCAGGCCTCTGCCCCTCAGCTGCGGCTTGTGGGGGTCCCCTTGGGCATGTATCTCTTTATCCCTTTCAAATGGTGGTATCTTAAGTGTCCAGAACCCAGAGGCAGAGCCCTTTTCTCAACATCAGGCTGACTCCCTGTGAATTCTGAGTGGATTGTGGATGACTAAGAAATTCTCTCCTTTCTTCTTTCCCCCATAATTTGAAAAGACACCCAACAAGTTCATCTTTCGATTTAAATTTGGCCAATGTCTTTAGTCTCCGGATGTCTCGAATTATGAATCCTGAGCATCCGCTGTCTGCTCTTTCATGCATAAGGGATGAAGCCAGGAAGAACAAAGTCGCCTTTCAGACTTGATGTGACCTTCAGCTTCATTGGGTGGATGTTAGGGTCTTCTCTCCCAGGAAGAGATCCCATCCCATGTAAATCTCTGGGGACTTTTCAACAAGCCTGGCTAGAGAATCAGGGCAGACTCCACATCTGGGGTGCTGGCTTGGGGCCTTGTCTTCTCCTTGCCTCCTCCCCCAACCATTCCCAGGTGTGGGTTGGAACAGGTACCCATTTGTATATTAAATAACCTGGCCAGGCGTAGTGGCCCATACCTATAGTCCCAGCACGTTGGGAGGCTGAGGCAGGCGGGTCACAAGGTCAAGAGATCGAGACCAGCCTGACCAACATGGTGAAACCCAATCTTTAATAAAAATAGAAAAATTATTAGCTGGGCATGGTGCCGTGTGCCTGTAGTCCCAGCTACTCGGGAGGCTGAGACAGGAGAATCGCTTGAACCCAAGAGGCAGAGGTTGCAGTGAGCCAAGATCAAGCCACTGGACTCCAGCCTGATGAGAGAGAGAGGCTCCATCTCAAAAACAAAAAGAAAAACAGTAACCGTTGGCCCTGTTAGGTCTTTGTACCTGCCACAGGTGATACTAGTCCTCAACTTCACATGCTACCAGGGAGGTGGTTCTAGTCCCATTTTCCTGATGAGGCAGCTGAGGGTGAAGGAAGATCAAGTTGACCAAAGCCTCTCATCCACTCAGAGGAGGATCTGGGATTTGAACCCTGTTCTCTAACCCAAGAGCTCCAGATTTCCACTGCACTGTGCCCCTCTGTGTAGATCGAGGCAAATCCCAGCCAAGCTGCTGTGTCCTGCTCTGCCTCGCCTGTGGCCCCAGCTACCACGGAAGACACTGGAAGCTGCTGGCCAGTGGGAGTCTCCACAGGCAGAGGCTGACTTCTAGACACCAGAGCAGATCCTCTCCACCTCTTCCCCAGGGGCTGACCTTTGGGGCCACTTCTCTGGACATGCCTAGTTTAGAACTTCACAGGACCATGTCTCATTGCATTGAGACCGTTTTGTCCTGAGTGGCATTGCTCAGTCTGCCAGTGAGACCCACAGTGAGCATTGGTGCCCCTCAGAGAAGGAAGGCTTCCTCTGGGAAGTGAATGCCAGCCTTGGAAGGGCAGGAAGTAGGGGGCAGTAGCATCCCACACATACCAGCTAGTTTAAGCTGCTGCTCAACGCCTGTGCTCATAGGTATTGTTAGCCCGTTTTAAAGATGATGACACTGAGGCCTGTGGAGGTTACATGATTAGCCAGCCTCACATAGCTACCAGGAGGCAGGCCTGGGACTCAGAACCTGTGTGTTTCCCACCATGCTGGGTGGCCCTGCCTCTGCAGGTCACTTGGGGCATTGGCAAGTCAGGATGACCTTGCTTGCTTAGGAACTTCTGAACCCAGCCCAGAGTAACCGTAGCCAAATGTCCAGCACAGAGGTACGGATCAGATGGTGCGTTTGTGGCTGGGACAGAGGTGGGCTGTGTCATGAGTCGTTGTTGCCAGACAGCAATTCTGACTGTACCTGCTGAGCCCCAGCATGGCCTGTCTCGGAGTGGCTAAGGCACAGCTGCCCTTGACCCCCTTGCAGTTCAGGGGTTATAGTTCATGGTGCCCTGGAAAGCTCCCGGGCATGGGCTCGGCTTGCGCCACGCCAGCAGAACATTAGAAGTCAGAGCTGAGGTATGGCAGCTGGGGAAGCTGGGGCAGGCTCCAAAAAGAGGGGCTTCTTCCTGCTGGGCCTCAGAGGAAGGGTAGAATGATTGGTGACTGCATGTGCTAGCCTGGGAGCTCCCTGAGGACATGCTTGTCTGATTTGTGCCATGGCCTCAGTGCGCAACCTAGCACCTGGCACAGAGCGGCCACCAGTGAGTCAGGTCATCAGGAGGGGAGAACCAGCCTGGGTCCCATGAGCGCTGCGAGAAGGGGCAGCCCTGGCTTAGTGGGCAGCACTGGAGCCCCTGCAGCCTGGCGGTCCACTTTGCCGGCTATCAGATACATCCTATGACAGCTCCCCTGTGTGCACTGGGCTTAGGCATTCTGGGTCTTTGTCACACAGCCTGTGGCGTGGCATGCCCGACCTGGTTTGGTAAAACATTGTGTGGTCCACCCTCTACCCCGACCAAAGATCTTGGTTTTCATGCGGTCTTCAAAGTGAGATTCTAGAATGTTAGTGCTGGGAGAACCCCAATGGTTCCCCAACCCACCCACTGTGCTTATAATGGGGAGCTGAGGCCTGCAGAGGGCACAGGACTTGCCTGGGACTCACAGGCAGTTAAGAGAGCTGGGATCTGAGCCGTATTTTCCACCAATTCCATGCCCAGTCCTCCATCCACCCGGTGGAGAGGAGCGAGAAGTCTCTTCCACTCTAGATACAGTGGGCCACGCGCTTTCAGGGAACTGGATGTGATGGTGATAAGAAGAGGCTGGACCTTGGTGGATTCTCTAGCATGTCCTGAGCACCAGCTCATCATCTATCTCTCCACTGTCCCCCTCAAGGGCCCCGAAGTCTCATGCAGCTCAAGCTGCTGGCCAGATGCCTAGAAGAGGGAGCATGGAGTACAACCTCTGGGGCCACAGCAGTCAGGACTGGGGTTCAATCCCCGACAGCCGCTTTTTAGCCACAGAAACAACTTAATAGCCTGTGTCTCAGTCTCCTCCCCTGTTAAATAGGATAAAGGTGCAGTCCAAACAGAGAGGGGCTGCTCTGGGGGGTGGGAGGAGCAGGTGGGGGTGGAGAGGACCAGTCTCTCCTGAGTGGTAAAGCCCACCCAGGATAGCTGAGGTGAGGGGGAGACAAGCTGTGTCCTCCTCCCAGGTGCACACTCAGGCCCCGCCACGTGGAGACCACCACATGGTGCCCTCGGGAAAAACTCGGCAGACTTCACTGTCTCATCAGGAAAGCATTCCAGTCTAGCTGTTTCCAGGAGGAAGGCATTAAGTGAAGAGTGCCAGATCACAAACGCCCTGGCAGGGCAAGGGTCCAGGTGGTCCCTGCAGGGACTCAGATCTGGCTGCTGCTGCTCCTGTAGGTCCTAGTGGTAGCATCCTGGGGCAAAGCTGGTTGGAAGCTGCTGGCAACAGAAGTTGGGAAAAGGTGGTTTGCAGGCATCCAGCCCCTGCGGCTCAGGAGGACACAGGGAAGGGAATGGTGCTGAGAGCAGCAGACCCTCTGGCACCCCACCACCCTGACACTATTGGGAGGCAGGGAGCATAAAAGGAGCTGGGGGAGGTTAGCCCAGAGGAAACCTGGCTGCCACACCTACAGTGTCGGGAGCTATGCTGAGGCTTCGCTCACATTATCATGTAACCCTTAGGAGAGCCATGTGAAGCCATGAACTGACCCAATCAAGATGTGAAAAGCTAGGACAGCACCCCAGGGCTGTTTCACATGGGCTGGAATCTGCTCCTGCCTCTTTCTGAGCCAGGTTTGGGTCAAGGGTCATTCATCCGATGCCCACTGATTGAGTGTCCACCCCATGCCAGGCGCCTGGAACATGGCAGCAAGCAAAACAGGAATCCCCATAGT